AGCGAATATATTTTCATTTCTTTTAATTTATTTGAGAATCGTTATTGTAATAAATATTTATTATAAAAATTTATAGAAAATTATATTTTATAAACAAAAGATAATTACAAAACATTATTGTCACCAAAACTAAATTGTAATAAATATTTTTTTTGAAACTTTATTACATATACGATTCTCATTAATTTTCAAATAAAAGTTCTTTAAGAGGCTACGTAAATGTTTTTCATTTGAATGGTGATTATTATTATTGTAATTTTAATTGATTGGTCATCTATTTTTTTCGAAAATTGTAAGAGAATCCTAAAAAAATATTTGCAAAGATTTTTTTAGTTGATAATCAATGAAGAATTTTATGAGTAACAAATACGTTATTAGTTTGTTCTATCATATTTTGTAAGAGTAATGCCATGTCATATTTTCATGTCACATATATTTTTGGGAGAGTAAATGTGGAGATGGACACATAAGCAAACTCTTACAAATCATTTCCCAAATAATGTATAAGTGATATTTCCTTGAAAGAATTTGATAACATTTTATATGGAGAAAGCTCAAACAATATATATATATTGTCTACATATAAATTAATCTCTTGGTCTCAATAATATTTTTTTTTCATTAACCACACATTTATATTAATAAAAAACTTTGTGATTAGTATCCAATTATGAAGAAAATAGTTTACACATACAACATCTGTATTTCTAGCTCTTGCATAAAAGGCTAAAGAGGCAGTCATAGTGCATTTAACTTAGGGGAATAAAAACAAACGTAAAACGACGAATTATCGCAAACAGATAAAATTCGTCCAAAAAAGTTAAAGAAAATGAGATTATGTGACATATTCGTTGTGAAAACATACTCAACATGGCCAATATTAAAACTTCCAAGAATCAACGGAGGAAAGACTTATTCTTCCTTTGACGCATCATGAGTCCTAGTAACATCGTGCTATCATCGATCACAAGATAAAAGTATTAGATTAGGGAAATAACATGAAAACAAAAATACCATGCATATGACGTTTTGCAGACAGTACACATAAGTCTTAATTTATATAGATATCCACTCATATAAGTGTAATGTTTATTGCATGTAACAACTACCGTATCCATATACAATTGTGACAGTTCATAATATAGCTTTGTTTATAATAATAATCCTTCACATGAACAGTTCAACAAATTATATAATTTCGTGGCTACAACTCGTCCATTTGTAATTAAAAACACAAAACCCAATATCAATCTTTACCTATAAAAACCCTAATACTATCTCCATATTCTTCACACAACACATCACAAGCTTGATAAAGAGAGAGTTAATTTCGAAGATTAAAATTTCTACTTCTTTATCAATGGCTTACGAAGATTAAAATTTCTACTTCTTCATCAATGGCTTATTCTAAGATTGCTCTTCTCCTCCTCTTCAATGTCATCTTCTTCACTTTAGNNAGCTCGTACTCGGTCCCTTCTCCACCNCCANCGTACAAGAAGCCCTCACCATCATCTCNTTATCACAAACTGACTTGTAAAGACGCTTTNAAACTCAGTGTATGTGCCAATGTGTTGGATTTGGTTAAGGTTTCTCTACCACAAAGGTCCAGATGTTGCGCCNTTATCAACGGCCTANTTGATCTCGAGGCCGCGGTCTGTCTTTGCACCGCCTTGAAGGCTAATGTCCTTGGCATTGAGCTTAATGTTCCCATTTCATTGAGTGTTGTTCTAAACCATTGTGGTAAGAAGGTTCCATATGGTTTCCAATGTGCCTAGAGATTACGTACTTGACTCTTGTTTTGAAATTTACTTCTTTTGATTCTTGTTTTGAAGTTTCTCGATTGATTCGGTATCATTATCTATTGTTGTAATTTTTACTTGTTCTATCAATAAGATAAAATGTTTTCGTTCAAAAATATAGCAATTTTATTCTCTTCTCTATTTAGTTTTTACGTACCGGTTTTGGTAAAAATCATGCATACCATGGAACTTTTTTTTTATTTTTAATCATCTGGAATTATATATTAAAAATTGTTAACATAATTACAACCCAAACCGCCAAAAAAGAATTTCACTACCAAAAAATCACAAGGGTAGGTTTAAGCAGAAGCCACGTACGGGATCGAAACCAATCAAAAACTGCCAAAAGCAAGGGAAACAACTCTTTGAGTAGAGACTTGTAGACTCCTTTCCAACTCAAAGAGCTCCCTTATCCAGAAAGGGGACCCTGTAGCTACATAAGATTGTCGTAGATCCTCATTAATAACGCTCTTAGCAATCATAACTGCCCCTTTGTTCGAATTAAAGTCTTCAAGATGCAAGTCCCAGCTGATTATATCTTGCAAGGCCCTAGCAACCTCACATGAATGGAATGTGAAAGAAG